CCTTCCTCAGGCAGCAGAGAAAGCTTGCCTCTTGCCACCATTGGACATCTCTAGTCAGATACTTTTTGCTTGGCCTACAGTCAGAATTCCTAGGTACAATAGAGTGAAAATTCAGAACTTGGTTAGTCCCAAATCCTCTTTGTACAAGGGAGCAGCCAAATGAAAATCGGACTTGTTTAACGCATTTAGCAAGTCAAGGGCAGAGATCCGGAAGCCAAGCCTTCCCATCCCAGCCCGAGACTCTTTCTTATAACCACTTCCCTTTCTACCTATGGTGACTCCACTCTCCTTGTGGAACTAGAGCAGTCTCCTGCCACTTGACTTTACCACCATTATCTGTCTTCCTCTTTTTTCCTATTGTCTGGATCCCCTGTTTTCAGGCCGCATGAACGATCCTACAATTATATTGCTTTAGAATGGTGTTGTGTGTCTAACTATCTCCAGCCTGGAGTATTAGATTCCAGTGTAATTGTGTTCTCTCCCATTAAGTAATTACTTTTGCTTTTTGTACTTGGGGGAAGTGCAATGCTTCTCCAGCAAATGAACTTGACGTTGAATCTGAAGGGACAAGTCTTTAAGGGGCATGCTTAGAGTTCTGAAGTGTTGTCTCATCTTTAAGCACAGAAATAGCTCTGAGGGAAGCCTGTGCTCTAGATGAAAGCCTAACTATTTAAAACACAGCTCTAGTTTCGGAGACATGTTATTTGCTGATTAAGCTTGGGAGTAAATTGTGTGTTTTGATGAATTGACTATAGGGTTGATTAATATTAAATGATACTCAGTGTCTTCTGAAAATGAAATGTTTGTGGATGTGTGCAGTGGCCTTGAGTATTACTCAGTACTTAAGTGAGAGAACAGTGTGTTAAGTCTAAGGGATGGTCCCGGAAAGTGAGAAGTCAATAGGATCAAGTGCATCTGGGCCGGAACCTGGGACTGGATGAATACAGTGAATATGCTACAGATGGGGTGGATGTATTCCCTACCTCTCCGTGAGGGAAAAGAAACAGAGCCATGGACTCTATTAAGCAGCTTCATTATATATATATATTTGTATGTATATATATATATACACACACACACACATATACAAGCCTTGTGTGGGCTTTGTTGGTGTTGCCTGCGCTACTCTTGTGCTCTACTGGGTCCGGTGCCCTGGGCTGGAGTGGGACTCATTTGAATTTACTGTAACGATGAGGTGTTTGCTAGGCTGGAGTGGGCTTCTCTGTGTTCTGGTTGAGGGATGCTGGGGTAGGTGCGCTAGTCTAGGCTGAAATGAGGGAAACAGGGCTGACAAAAACAGGAAAAGAACAGCTTAAAAGTGGAATAACTTCACTTCTCTGGGTATCATTTCCCAACCTGGCGAAGATGTGATGAGATTCATCTGTTCATACCAAAAATGTTCAGTGAGCATTATCTGAGTAATGGGCTCCTTTCCTAAGTACTGAGGATGCAGAGATAACAAAACACTGCCCTTCCAGGTCTCTTGGGTTAGGTAGGAAGCAGACAAGAAAGGAAACTAAATATAAAGTGAGTCTATCGGGTGATATTAGCCTCTCCAAATCTCAGTCATGTAGCACAACAAAAAACACTCAACAAAAGTTTATTTCTCGTTCATACGAAGTCTGTTATAGATTCAGGCAACTCTGTAGGGCCGTCGTCCTCCTTCTGTTGGCTCATCAATCCAGGCGGTTTCAATCTTCCGGTAGCTCCACATCAATATGTGTTTCCATGATGACCGTGCCAGGGAGGGGCTTGCATGGGACATTAATTGTTCCAGCGAGGAAGGGACACATATTACTTCCTCCCACAACCCAAACCAGTCACATGACCGCCCCCTACTTTACACTGGCAGGAGAGTGGGAGTGCAATCGTCCTATCTTCCCGGAAGCGGAAGAGATTTGGATCTTGGAACATTCGTAACCTTCCACAGGTAAAGGTAATCATGGTATGGGAGCCCGGCACATGTGAATGCCAGAGATCTCTAAGGGCTGTCCTAAGCTTTGGAGTTTTGGAATTTTGCTGTCATTCTCAATGATACCTAAAGGGATGGACTCTGTGCCTGTACCTGGCGTGTTCTCCGTGGAGAAATAGTACAGGTGAGAGTTTTTTCAGAGGCTTTCCTGAGTCTGCGCCAAGTATCCTTCGTCAGAAGTAGCAAGTTGGCTGTCATTCAGAGTACTGCTCTCGTCTCTCTCTGAGCTAAGGCAACAGGCTTCATTGACACTCTGCTTTTCTACTTTCTTTGGCTTAGATGCAGTGACTGAAGTGAAGACTGACATCTACGTGACAAGTTTTGGCCCTGTGTCAGACACTGACATGGTAAGTATAATTCTCGCTGAGGTAAAGGTGAAAGAAGATGCAACAGATCCAAGAAAATAAATTGGGGTTTTCCTACAGCAGGACTTTGTAGCTATGTTCTATGGAGGTCTCGTCTCAGATAAATTCCTACCCTCACCATGCTACATTCAGCCAAATCCATCCCTTGCCCTTCTCGCCCCATCTGTTCGCACATAAAGCATATACCCCCATCAGGAGTCCACTTTCCTTCTTTCCACAATGCATCTTTCAAAGTTGACTCGACTCCCCAGTCTCAATTCGACTCTCTCTGACATCCTCCTTCACATTTTGCCAGCACCGCGCATCTTAGGACAGATAGGTCACATGAGGAGAGCACGTGGTGGGGACTGTCAGTCAAGCAGCCAGTGATATTATCCGAGAATTCCATTCTTTGCAAACAGACCCTGGGGACAGCCACTGCGGACACCAACTGACTAGGGTGATACAAAGCGTTTGGAGGGAGAGGCAAAACCACTTCTGGAAACTGGCCTTTCTACACATGTGAGCGATGGGAGACCTTTGGAGCAGGTTCAAGGACTAGGGCAGAGCATAGCAGAGCTAGAAAGGGGGTGACTCATGAGTCATGGACATAGACTTCCCCTTCTCCCACCGTTCTCCCTTGCTGCCAAGGAGAAGAACACAGCGAAGAATCGAGACAGGAGACCCCATCCTAATGGACCACCTGATCGATACCTACTAAGTATCAGATGTTGATTGAATAATTATTATGTATGGAAACAAAAAGAAAACAGTTATCTGCTCAGTACACCTGGCAGTCATTAGATGCTCAATAATTTTTTGTTGAATGAGTGACTTTGTGTCGAAAATAAAAATCTTAAAATCAGAAAAAATATATTAAAAAAATATGAGACACCCTTGTTCACTACTTAGGTTTTTTTCTGTATCTCTCTCTCCAGTGAGCCTACTGCCTATAGGGCCCGATGGCTTCTTTAGACCTGTTGAGTAAATACAAATGGTTGTGTAGTGAAATGATACAGTTTGCCCTGTGGGTAATGCAGAACCACTGAGTAGATTCGAGAAGGGCAGTAAAAATATGTGTTGGTTTAGAATGATGGATCTGGCGCTCTGTACAGGATGGTTACCGGGGGAAGGACCGGAGGCTGAGAACTGGTTTAGGCATGGGTCTTCTTTCACTCGGACAAGGTCTAGGAGTCAGTTGAAAAAGCAGCCTCGTTCTCAGGACAGGGAGCTGTGTGTGGTTGTGAGGCCAGGCAGGGGGAAGGTAGAGGCCCAAACTTTGTCTTTTAAGAGTACAATAATATAGAAGGGTATAGGGATGTAGTGGGCTTCCTTTGAACTCCTCAAGGGCAAGTACCAGTCTTCATGGCTTCCTTGGCACTTCACAGAGTACTTGACACGTGGGAGAGCTCAGTGAGGGGCATGTTTGCCATATGAGGGACAGAGGAGACAAGTCTCTCATAGGGGTGGCAAGAAAGCCTGTATATCTAGATTGCCCCTCATCAACCTGATGACTGCTAACTTCCACAGCTTCAGATCCAGACATGTATTAAAACAGTTGCCAGTCTGTAATTCAATAAGTGTTCCTTAAAAGCTCAACTCTGTATTACGAGGCTCTAGGGACCTCTATATTAAGAGAGCTCATAGGCCATTGGGGCTAACCAGATTCACCAGGGATATGCAGCTCTCTCTGTGCATTGCTGGCAATTAGTGATGGATAAGGATTTTTATAAGAAAGCATCTGAAGCTACTCTATGAACACACATGCATTAACTCTCATGAACCATCATCCACAAATACATTCAGAAAAATGTACATGCACGCAAGAAAATACACACAGAATACAAACAGCCCACATGCTATCCTAGGCACTCCATAGACACACATGTGCAAATAGATACCTAAATGCACTGGTACCACACACACACACACACACACACACACACACACGCAGCCCCTGCCCAAATCGACTCCTCTCCTTGTTCGTTCCCCACCCAGGTAGGCACACGTGGGTGTTCAGAGGCTTGGAGACATTTTAAACAACATAGACTTTCTATCTCTTTTGAAGTTTCAGGTCTTACTTGCTTGTTTGTTTGTTTTTTTTCCCTCATGATTAAGCAGAAGCAATAGAATGGCTCTTTCCTAATCGGGACATCAGGCTTCGGTCAAATAAATTTCTGGTTATTTGTAGCTGTACTTCCATTCTGTCACAAGGCAGACTAGCTTTGATCACTGTGGCTGGGAAACACATTAATGGTGTTTTAAAATTTTTCTTCTTCATGTACTACTTGGTAGACTATGGCAGTTGACCCAGGGTCAGGAATGAGTTTGAGCGAAGCATCAGACTTTTTAGCAGCTAGTTGAAGCAAGGACATGGGGTCCTCCGAGACCACAGACTACTTCAAAAAGTCGATGAAAATTCATGTTGATTGGGTTCTTGACTCACTTCCAGCCAACAGAGTTTTGGTCCAGAATACTTTCTTACGGAAATAGAGACAGTCTTTTGTTCACGAAGTGGGGAGACTGTGGTGCCATTTTGAGCACTGAACCAATACTACCCAGAACCCTTTGCAGCCATTGGGCTCCATGGTCAAACACTGACTCCCACAGACATAGATCCCGAGTTTGACAGAAAGCTCCATGAGGGCCCATGTCTGTTTTGTTAATCTCAGTACCATCGATGCCTAATTAATTCAATGTTTGGCACTTGGTAGACTCTCAACTGTTAAATGGAAGAATGAGGGAGATGGAGCAAAATAAATTTGAGGCGAAAATTATGACCGTGTTCCTCTATTTGACTGAAAGTTCTTCAAAGGCATAAACATTTGTCAGGTACATTTCTGTACCTCCAGCACCTAGCCCAAGACCTGATACAGGTTCTCTGTGTTTGTCGATGTGATACGAAACATTAGCAGCAAGCCTTGAAAGTAAAGAGTAGAAATAGCTTTCTTCAGGAGACACTGCTGAGCAGCAAGCTAATGAGTCACTAATTGATGGCCCCAAGCTTTGAGGTACTAGTTTTGGTGGCTTCTCCATCCATGAAAATGAGGAGCCGTGGCAATAGGGAATTGGGCAGAGGCGAAAGCTGAAGGCTAATGGATCTTTCTAAGGGGAAAGTCAGATAAAGAAAGAAACTTCATACAGGGTATAAGACATGAGTTGGAAACTGGTTACAAAGGGACTTAACAGGCATCATGAATGAAAGGTTTGTGTTCACCATTTGCAATACATGGAGCTTTGTGGTCATAGGATACATAACTCCTCAACAGTAACACTGATCCTGTGTCAGTGGTCTCCCGGGAGAGAAACAGAGTAAGGGACACAGTCCTCATTTGAATAAACCGAGGCCGTGTGATCGACTATGGCTTTCTGTTTTAGTGAAAAGATTTGGGGAACCGTTTCATTTTCACTTCTCTCTCACATTGGGTCTGTCCATTCCTTACCAAATGGAAGTTTTCCCTGGTGCCCCAAGATCCTTTGAATTCAAATGCAGAGAAAGTGGGATGCTGGCTTAAGAATGGCGCGCTACACATACGGTCAGTCTCTGAAAAGGAGAGTAGCAAGGTGACAGTTGATATTTTCCGAGAGTAGACCTCGATTGCGGTAATCATTTCACAGTGAATATGTATATTAAATCGTCACGGTGTGCATCTTTTAAAATCACATCGTACAACCTAATATATATCATTTTTCTTTGTTGATCCTACCTCAATAAAGCTGGGGGTAAAAAACATAACAGCTGAGAGAAAATTTGGATACTCTCCTGGTCTAAACCACCTCTGACAAAGCTTCCATTCTAACTCTCAACCTAAGGTCCCAGGCTGTGCCCTGGTCCTTGAGCATGACAGTGACGTGGGAGCCCAGGGTCCTGAGTTAGATATTTCTTTTATTATTATTATTTTTTAAATCTAAACAAATATCTATCTGAATGTACTGATAACGCTAGTGAGAAAATAAAGAGGAGAAAGAGTAGTAACGTTAATAGAGTCAGAGAGAACAATTGGAAAACTTAAAATGCCAGTTCTAGGTGTTGTCCACCTCGCCCTTTTCCCAGGGACGCTTTAATTAGATACTTGCTAGGTAAGAAGTGCCAGCTGCCAGTTGTCGGAGAAACTTCCTAGGGTGTACAATCGACAGCCAGGTAGTGAAGCAATTAGATGATACAATAAGAGAACTAACAGTCTAGCTCGATGAGAAAAATAAAATGGAGGCTTGGGAATGGGAACTCATAAAAGACATCATAATCATAATTCTTGGTAAAAGATTCAGGTGGCATATATTTTGGTTTGACAACTGCTTATGAAACTCATGCAAAGTTACCAGAGTATTCAGACACCATATGGGGAAAAAATGGTGTTCATTAAAAAGGAAGTAGCACAGAGACCTCTTTCCTGGTGGCAATGGGTTGGAAGTTATTGCACCTGTCTCCTCTCTCGCATTGGAAAAAGTAGTGATGTTCACTTCAAGCCCTCACTTACTGGTGATCTCGGGCATAGAATGGAGCAGAGCCTTCGTCTATTTTGAAAGCCTCTTAGGCTGTCAGTTTCCTCTTATCCCATAAGATACCGTATTCCCAGATACAACATAGAAAGACGGTCCATGTCTGTGGGGTTTTGCCTCAGATTCCATGACTAGGGATTCCCTGGCTACTGTTATGTAAAATGGACAGGCAGGACACATAAATTGCTAATAAGACAATTTCAAGGGCTAAATGCAACTAAAACAGACTTATGGATTGTGATTATCCAAAATAGAGAACGATGGAGAGAAGATGGCAGCAAAGGGAGGACAGGATGACCAAAACAAGGGGCGGGGTGACGTTTACGGGACATTCGACGGTGCCTTTTCTGTAATGAATTGTCAAGTATGTTGGCCCCAGACCCCGTTAAAGTGAAATCAGCCTTGCAGGCCCTTTCTGGAAGCTTGCTTTGAAACACCACGCAGCGTCAGAGTTAGACATTCAAACTCTAACACCAAGCCAGAAATTCTTCCCCAAGTGCTAT